TACTGCCTGAGCCACATCCCCAGCCCTAAGAATTTTTTTAATTGTACAGATATATCATTAGCTGGTTTTTGTATTTCAGTTTTGTTATGTAGCCTTTAAGATGTAATTGTTTCTAAATAAAGTTTTACTTGATATGGGCTACATTTCCAACCTATAAAAGTTATTTATCTAACTTATTTTCTTTTCATCAAATATGGACTTTTTCTTTAAAGATTTTGCTCCATTGAATGTTTGAAGATTTTTGTCAAGTCTGTTGTAAGTGAATAATAGCAGAATCAGATCATCCTCATCTAAACTGCTCTTAACTGTCTAAATCAGCGACAACTTTGTGGGGTTTTTGTTATTGTTGTTGTTTGTTTTATTTTTAAAGAAACATCTCTTTCAGAAAGAAGAAAGAGTGTGCCTAGTGGTGGTGGCAAATTTCTGTAGCAATGCTCTCCTTACGTGGCACTAGTGATCCATGGGCTTCTTTTATAGAATGTTTTTCTCCCCAGATGATTCAAAGTTTAGAAGACCCGCAGTTTCTACAATTAATGCAATGAGCTCTTTAAATGAGTCTTTTTTCCTTTGACCTAAAAATATTTTTTTTCTATTTAGACCTAAACTTCTATTTATGCACTTATCATGTAATAATCTAGATTTCAAATATCTAACTTAAGTTTCATTTTTTAACCTCTATTTTTTAAATATTTGAGATGGTCTCAGGAGAAAGCAGAAAGAAAGTCTTTGGCTTTATATTCCTAACCATGTCTAAAAATCCTCCTAGACTAATTTCCCCCTTTGTGCACTTGAATAATGGTGCTATTGAATGAGTCCTATTTGTTAATCACGGGGCTGAGCATCTCATATGTACTAATTTAATCTTCAATAATGTGCCTTATATATGTTAGACAATTTCAAAATCCATTTTTAAAATGAGGAAAATCATGTGTGGTCATCCTTGATAAAATATGAAGACAGAAGTTAAAGTCACAGCTGAACTCAAAAACAATTATTATCTCTGTGGCCAAGGAATGGAATTGAAATTCAAGAGACGAATTATAGGCTGGGCTGAGGCCTCTGGCCTTCTGGGCTTTGGAGAAGGACAGAGCAGGCTAGGACAGCTTCTTCCAGATAATGGGAGATCAGTGTTACCTTATACTGTGTGGAAGTCCAGAGCTAGCCTTGCTATTTGAAACCAGGGCATATAGCACTTGTCTGGGTCTAAGTGAAGGATGAAGTCTGCTGCCTCCTACTGTTTGAGACTGCCATTACTATGGTGCTCAGGGTTTAAGATGCCAGGAGTTGGCCAACAGGGCACTAACTAGGAACTGAACCAGACACTCACTGGTTAGTGATGGGGCTGTTAATAATCTGGATGTCAACACAATGTCATACTCAAACCACTGAGGCAAAGAGGTTACAGATGTATGATTCTGGGCACCAAATGGATACCAAAACCATTTTCAAGAGAAGGATGGCACTAGAGCCAATAATAGAACTGTATAAAAAAAAATCTAAATAAAAATAAATGAAAGAAATTCTCATTTCAAGGGAACTTACAAACTGTGATTCCAAAGCACATGGAGAAACCTGACAGTAAGAAAGACAGCCAAAAAAACTGACCATTTATAATAAATACATCCTAGAAGAATTTGATAAATTGAAACAGCCTGGCAGAGTATATTATGGATGCTTAAAATGTAAACAAGGGAATACCATCCATAAAGAAAGGCTGAAAGTCTTAAAACAAACAAAAATCAGTTATCTAATTATAGTTTACTTAGAAGTATTTCTTGAGATCATATACTCAATAATGGTATACTTCCACCATATTACAGGTGCTAGAGATACAGCAATAAACAAAACTAAATAAAATCAATATCCATATAGGGGGTTTATAGTCTAGTAGGAAGTTTACCTTATAATAGCAGAAATAAAATAAGAACAGGTGGAAATCTTAGAAATGAAAAAAAAAATCATTGGAATACAGTTTCTGATAGAAAGGATAAACTGCTTGACACAGAGATAAGGGTTACTGATCTCCCATTATCCTGAAGAAGCTGTCCTGGCCTGCTCTGTCCTTCTCCAGAGCCCAGAAGGCCAGAGGCCTCAGCCCAGCCTATAACTCATCTCTTGCATTTCAATTCCATTCTTGGGCCACAGAGATAAGATAGATTCCAGAAGTTATTACAGAAAGATATTACAGAGGAAATCACCTCGACTGTAATAATGGGAAAATAAGATATTAAGAGAAAGAAAGTGTGGTGCATGTTGAAAGAGAAAGAGGGAGAGAGAGAATACCTGAGAATACGTGGACATGTGTCAAATGAAAGTTCCAGAAGAAGAAAACAGAAGCAATGGTGCAAAGATGAAACTGTGAGAGAGAGAACTGCTATTGCTTTAGAATTGAAGATGAGACCCCTCAAGGAAGTCAGAAATCTCAGAATGTCAGAAAGGACATTATGAGAACCTATTTGGATAAAGAAAAATAAATCTATATCTGAACACTTTTTGGTTAAACTTTAGAGGATAAAAAGAAAACGTTAATAGAGAAAAAATAAACCACCTTTAAAGACCATTAGAATGAAAACAAATGCCAAGAGCAATATTGAGGGGGGAAATTTACAATGAATTTGGATTCTAGAATTATCTGCCACAATATACCACAAGCAAACAATGACTGAGAATATGAATTAAATAATCAACTTAAAAAAATATTCTTGGGGAAGAAAGCCTACAAAGAATAAAAAAAAAAAAAACAGGAAAGAGGAGCAGAAACTCTAAGAAGTCATTAAATTTAATTCTTTATTTAAAAAGTAAAAACTAAAATCTGTGTAAAAACGTATAGACCAGTCGTGGCAGCTCACACCTGTAATCCCACTGGTTTAGGAAGCTGAGGCAAGAGGATCATGAGTCCAAAGTCAGCCTCAGAAATGTAACAAGGCCCTAAGCAACTCAGTGAGACCCTGTCTCTAAATTAAAATACAAAAGAGGGGTGGGGCTGTAGCTCAGTGGTTAAGTGTCCCTGGATTCACTCATCTCCAGTACCAAAGGAAAAAAAATGGTGTAAGACTACACACAAGTAAGAAATATGAGCAGGTAAATAGAGGAAACATAAATGGCTGACAATTATATACAAATTGGAAACAAACAAACAAAAAAACTTGTAATGAGGCTCCTTCCTTCTATTGCACTTTTCCTTCATTGCCTCCCAACTCCCTTAGATTAAGACCCAAACTCCTTAGCGGGGTACACTGTCTGTACCTCCTGAGTCACCAACTGGAGTTTTTATCCCTCTCACACAACCCAAGCTTTGCTTCCTTTTTTGATAACTGATTTCCTCTGGATTGTTGCTTTCCTGACACTGGGGAAAATCTTGAAAATTTTCTAATGACTCCTCAAACTCCTTGATTTCGCTCTTGATATAGTGACTGTAATAGGGACTTAATTTCCTGGCACTTGATGGTGCTCTGTGGCTCATGTCTTCCTAGCCATCTTTGGAGCCACACACTGCCTGGCTTTCCTGTAGTTCCCAGGCTCCTCACAGTGGATGTGCTCAGGGGCAAGGGGTGGCTGTGGGATTCCGGCTTAGAGTGTTACCTGTATCTTGAAATAAATCTCTTAGGAGTTCAGAATGGATTCTAATGAGCAACAGCTGACTTTGGATGCTGAATTGGTACAAATTCTTTTGAAGAAGAGTTGAATCTTTATTTTAGAGAGGAAGAAAATAATTCTAAATAAGAATGAACATAATTATTGTTTGAAAGGTACTCTAAAAGTTTCCTAATTTATATCTAAGATAAGATTCATCCATATTGCTTTATCTTAAAAAGACAAAATTAAGCAATACTACTACTAATAATGGGACTAGCAGTGTGTGTGTGTGTGTGTGTGTGTGTGTGTGTGTGTGATAGAGAGAGAGAGAGAGAGAGAGAGAGAGAGACACTGAAAAAGCAAGCACTGGGCATAGATTTCTCCCTCTTTGTTTTTGCCTGTTACTATCCATGTATTTGATAATAATTGGCCAATACTTGGAAATCTGAAAAGTGTTCAGAACTCCAATCTGATCAACATTTATTGGAATATCTAATATGACAACTCAAATATTATAGGACTTATTTTGTTATATTAATATTAAATTAATATTAAATATCACATTTTGGAAATTATTTTATATCAGCAAAAATTGCTAACCTAGTGGTTCATGTGAATGTATTTAGTGTTATTGAACTGTTCACTTAAAAATGGTAAGCTTTATGTTATGCGTATCTTTACCACAATTTAAAAAATAAATGCTAGGTCAAAACTTGAACACATCATCTTTATGGATCATTTCCTTACAATTTTTGTTGAGAATTGAGCCATAAGCAAAACAAGGCAAATACAGTAATAATTTTTTGGATTATTGCAGGCCACTAGGATGCAGTTTCATATTTTAGAATAGATATTATCCTATTGCATTCTGCTGATTAAAAAAAAAGATCCAGTGCATTCTCAAAATGCATAGCTTCCTATCTGAAGATAGCTTACTGATTAAAATATCAACTCAATATTCTGTTTAAAATTAGTTTTTATATTAGTTTCATAATCTGACATTTTCACAGTAAATATTCTTCAGTAGTCACAACATACGTCTTCAACTTTCATAATAATATTATTATAAATATTAAAAAGCACTCACTCTGTTTTAGGTGCTGTTCTAAGCCTTTTCCCACATTATCTCGTTTACTTTTCTTGGCAGTTACGAAGTAGAAGCTGACACTATTCCCAAATTACAAATGAGGAAACTGAGCAAAGACAATTATCTGAGGCCACACAATATGTAATAGAGCTGATGGTAGCTTTAATTGCCCTGCAATGGATAAATGAGGACTTTTGTGCAACCCCATTCACCCTAGGTTCAATGCTTTATTCTCTTTTTTTTAAAAGGAAGTCAACAAAAGTTGAACATCCTGATGCATTTTACGTTTTTTTCTACCAGTCAACCATGATTTCTTTTTTTTTTTGGATTCTGACAGGGCATTCTATTTGGACAAATCAAATTCACCACCAAACTCCACATCCAAAGCTGCCTATGTAGATAAGGTAAGAATAGATAATTATATTTATCACTGCCTTGTTATTCCTAGACCTTCCTTACTCAGCTTTTCTGCTCTTCTTGAGCAGCGGGTAATTGCAACATTTGTAGACTCCAGCTCTGTTACCTCCATAACAAAATAATTTTGGTTTAGACTGTACTTTCAAAGCTGTAACAACTGTGAGTTGCTTCCCATCTAAAAAAGGGTTTCTACTAAAACATGTTGAATTTTATGTTCTTCACTTTTTTTCTTCAGCTAATGAGGCCTCTCAATGCTTTGGATGAACTTTATCGACTGGTAGGCTCATTTATCAGATCAAAACGCACAGCTGCTTGTGCAAACACAGCCTGCAGCGCCTCTGGAGTTGGACTGCTGTCAGTTTCTTCTGAGCTGTGCGACAGGCTGGGAGCTTGCCACATCATCATGTGCAGCAGCGGAGTGCATCGGTACGTGAGCTTCCCTGCCTTGCTTGCATTTGTTAGTCCACGTGTTAGTTGGTGGTTCTTGTCTGCATATAGGCTGCGTGAAATCAAAACTGGAAACATCAAAAGGATGTGGATGCATTTGGAATAAAATTTTTGATGTTTTCTGGTTTTAGTACTTATATTTTTAGTGAATACTAATTTACACAAATGAATGCATGCCTACATTTATACCATGGTGACCCAGAATCTTATCCTTCTTGCATTTATATGAACCATATTTGTATTTTAGGTGCAAAAAATGTGCTTCCTTATTCACTGTAGGGATTTGCTTAGAAAGAGCTGAATTCAGAGAGCTCAGTGATACTCTTTTTCTCACTAGCTTGATAGACATTCCACTATTCAGTGCTTCCCATTCCTAGAGCACAGGTCCTATGGGCTCCCTGCTTCCCTGGGGATGCTGCTGCCTTCCTCCATTGGACAAAATCATTGATGGTCCAGGAGCTCACAAAATATGCTTGAGAAGACAAGGTAAAATCTTTGACAGGTTCTATTCAGGTGATTTGTCTTAGACAACTGTGCTCTGTCTGGGCAGCCAAGAAAGGTGTGTGAATTTAATGTAGTTTCATCAGACTTAGGCCTGAAATGAGAGTGGGTACCCCCAAGTCAAGTCCCTCTTCATAATCATCTCTCATATTCATGATGAAGTAAACCCTTATAGATGGAAAACAGGGCCAGAATTTTAGTCCTAATCTTAATCTGAGTAGGGAGCAAGTTTTCTCTCGCAAGACTTAGTTCTTAGTAGTGGGCCATTTAGATTTTGAATATGGTGTTTACTTATTTATTCAAATTTACTTGGTGCTTAATTGATGCCAAAGTTTTCAGATGGTGCTTCAGAGCCTGCTGTGTAACATCATAAAGTGGGGCATTCGTCTTGGAGACATAAGGCATGAAGAACGAACAGAAAATAGCTAACAAAAACATAATAATAATGGAATAAGATTAAAAACAATACACACACCAAAAAAACCCCAAACTATAAAAGATTCAAGTGGCCTAGAAAAGTTACAGCTGAAGAATGAATTCACAGGAACAATATGTCTTTGAGATGGTTAGATCTGGAAACTTTCCAAGGGGACGGTGATGTTTGAATGGGGGTTTGATGGATTGGGTTGTAGAAGTGGAAAGGGGAGAGGGGCCATTCAACCCTCTCATCTGTGAAATCCCTTTTGACTTGGTATGGCCATTCACTAGTTTTGAAGCCCCACACAGCACTGTCTTGCTTAAGAAATGTAACATGACTATTCCTCTGAAAGGGCCATTACATCCTTGTAATTGAAAAAATAGCCTGAAATTTTTCCCTTTTTTTTGGGGGGGGGGGTGGTTACTGAGGATTGAACTCAGGCGCACTTGACCACTGAACCACAGTCTAAGCCCTATTTTATATTTGATTTGAAGACAGGATCTCACTGAGTTGCTTAGCTCCTTGCTGTTGCTGAGGCTGGCTTTGAACTCAAGATCTTCCTGTCTTAGCCTCCTGAGCCACTAGAATTACAGGCATGTGCCACTGCACCCAGCTTCCCTTCATTTTAATTGCTGTGTACCTTGTGCACTATTGCAATCTTACCAAGAGCTTAATTGAAAATGTTATCTGCAACTGAATGGATCATATATTATTTTATAACCTTTTAGGAACAGAGAATTGATCTTGCCTCTGATAAATTCATGTTCATTCAGTCTGTTTCCATTCTTTCATTCATTCATTATTCATTCATATCATCAATGGCCATTGAGCATGAATTAGGTGCCAATGCTGATCTCTCGAGGTGCCAATGCTGATCTAGTGGCTGGGGTTACTATATTGAAAAAGTGAAGTCCTGACTTTCATATAGTGTGCATGGCATTGGGAGAAAATAGATGATAAATATGTGATATGGCAGGTGGATAAATACCCCAAAACACGGAATCAGAGTAGTCAAACGGTGACAAGATGGGAAGAGAGGTATAACTTCTGATAGGAGTGGGAGGATTTCATTAAGTGAAATGAAAAAGTGAGTTGTGCTCACATCTCAGAGAAGGAATTTTCCAGCCAAGGAGAGCAGCAGTGCAAACAGCCTACTGTATTCAGAGAACAGTAAGGAGTTCATAGTGGCATCACCTGGACTGTGTTCTTATCTCACCCTACTTTAAGGTCAGAGTTATCCTTAGATGCACCTGGTCAAATAGGAAGACACTTTCAACTTTAATCTCTGAAAATATACTCTTACCTCTGCATTAATTTATGAAAAGTTAATATGATTAAACCTTCCATTTAATGCTGGAGAACATGATCATATTGTGCAGATTACTCTCACAGATGTTCTATGACAATTTTAGAATTTGACAGGTGTAGTATAAGAAACATGTTAATGTTACACAACTGTTTAATATTGATATTCATTGATTGGCATGTTAGAATGTTAAGAAACATTGATTTTTAAAATAGTTTGACTTTATTCCTATTATTCAAAATAAATAGACCTTTTGTTAGTTAATTTCAGAAGATATTTACTAAGATGTAGGCCCTAATGCACCATAAAAGGTGCTGAACTTAAATCTATTTGAAAATTCTTTAATTTTCCTATTATGTAGAGTAAAATGGAACTTGAACATAATCTTTCATTTTTCAGTGAAGGCTTTGCTTAGATTTTTTTCAGAAGATAAAATTTGTGCTAATTTATATTGCAATTCAAAATCCCACAGAAGACTGTTCCTAAAATAATCCTTTAGTAGTGCTAATGCAGACAGCTGGAGAAGAACCCTGCAAGCAACATGAACCTCAGAGGTTAACCTCAGGTTCCAACTGAGGGGAGAGATTCACAGGGTTAATTAGTACAAACACTTCCAAAGTTGTCTTTATACTTTACTTTTAAAATTAAGATGAGAAATAATCAAAAGTATGATATTCACATTAGATTGTCAACTTTCTGCCTTTTCTGGTTTTACTGGGCAAATGAAGAGGACCAAAAATATTTTTTTAAAGAATTGAGTTATATTGCATATATTTGATATTAAAAGAAAGAATGTGGATTTCAGATTAAAAGGCAGATTTAATTATCATTAATGTCCAGATATTTTAATGTCAGCTTGGATCAAATGCCAGAGCTGTATAGAATAGCATATATAGAAACAGAATATAAAATTAGTAGGAATAGAATTCATGATGAACTATTAAAATAATCTCTTCATAGTACTTATCCTGGCTTCTCTCTCTGTTATGGTTTGGACTTGAAATGTGCCCCAAGGCTCATGTGTTGAAGGCTTGGTCAATGCATCAGTGTTCAGAAGTAGGGCTTTTAGGAATGATTGGATCATGAGGGCTCTGGCCTCATCAGTGGATTAGTCCATTGATAGCTGAATGGACTATCAAGAGGTAGTGGAAAATGTGGGACATGGTTCATGTCCAAGAAAGGCATTTCTTCTTTTCCCCTTTCTCTTCTCTGTCTCTCCTTCCTGGCTGCTATGAGCTGAGAAGCTTTTCTCCACCTCACCTTTCTGCTGAAATGTTCTGAGTCACCTCAGGCTCAAAAAAATGGAGCCAGTTGACCATGAACTGAAACTCTGAGCCAAAATAATTTTTTTTTTCTCCTCTGTTTTCCTTGGGTATTTGTCACAGCAATGAAAAGCTAACACAATTCCCTGAAATAATTCTTTACATACAGTACAAGTCAGCTGATCCAAGTCTCCTGTCCGTGCTCTCTTTAGCTGTTCATTTCCATTTAGGATCTCCATTGCTGTGGAATAGGGAAGAAGGATAGGAGTGATCTCTTTTTAATACCAGGGTTTTGCCTTTGAAGCAATATAAACACGATTAAAAGGTGATTCAGCAAATAGAAAAATTTTCAGAATTTTCTATTTTGATCTACCTTTTTTTTTCATTTTGCAGCCACTCACAGCTTCTCTATTAAATAATAACACATTTGAACATTGTCTTAGTAGTATAGTGTCTTAGACAGTTTGTGCTGCTATTACAAAACACCACAGACTGGGTAATTTTAAAGAATAGAAATTTATTTTTTACGTTTATGGAGGCTTGCAGTCCAGGATCATGCAGCAGGTTCAATATCTATCTGTTCAGGGCACCTGTCTCTGCTTCCAAGATGGCACTTTGAACACTGTATCTTCACATGGCAAGAGGTACAGAAGGGAAAAGAGGAGGAAGGCAACCTGCCTTTCTTTTCTTTCTTTTTATTTATTTTTTGTTTTATTTTGTTGTTGCAGGTTTTTGTTCTCTTATACTTGGGATTAAACCCAAGGATGCTTTACCACTGAGCTACTTCCCCAGCCCTTTTCTATTTTTGATTTTGAGACAAGGTCTTGCTAAGTTGCTTAGGGAATAACTAATTTGAGGCTAGCCTTGAACTTGTGATCCTTCTCCCTCAGTCTCCTGAGTTACTGGGATTACAATCATGTACCATTGTGTCTGGCTACCTTGCACTTATTTGATAAGAATGCTAGTCATCTTGAGAACTCAACCCTCATGACTTAATCACCTCCTAAAGGTCCTACCTCTTAATATTATTACATTGATGATTGTCTCAATATGTGAATTTTAGAGGACACATTCAAACTGTGGTTTAATAATTTGTTTTATGCTCATAGCAATTATATATGTCCCAGATGTGCATAATGTAGACTCTGAATGTGTCCCCCTAACTTAATCCTTAAAACAATGGCATGTGAAGTGGGGCTGAGTAAGAGGTAATTAATCATTACCTCTCTGATAATTCATGTCATTATCATGGGAGTGGATTGGTAATCACAACTATGTGTTGTTAGTGAATTAGGGCCCTTCTTGCTCTCTGCTTTCATGCTTTCTTGCCCATCTGCTACTCATCCTAGGATGATGCAGCAAGAAGGCTCTCTCCTTAGACTTAGATGCAGGCCTCTCAACCTTAGACTTCTCAGCTTCAACTATAAGAATGAAATCTGTTCTTTATGAATTACCCAGTCTTAGTATTCTGTTACAGCAGCACAAAAGGAAC